GAATGATTAGAAATAAAAAGCCTTTTTTTATTTTTTATTTCACAGCTCCCCAAAGTAGGGCTTGTTTCCCAAAAACACAGGCCTCTGCTAATTATTCACTTAGCTCTTTTGGGTTTTGAATGTCCATAGAAATAGTCTAGGGTTAACAGCTCCCCAAAGTAGGGCTTGTTCCCCAAAAACACAGGCCTCTGCTAATTATTCACTTTACTTAGCTCTTTTTGGTTTTGAATGTCCATAGAATTAGTCTAGGGTTAACCTAATCATGTACCCAGAGGATTGACTGCCAATCTTGATGGGATTAGGCCAAAACGTCACATCCGGAGGGTGGGGGCTGAGCACGTCACTTCCTTTTAGGGCTGTGCCCTGTTGACGTAATCAGCACGTGGGTTTGTTTACTTTGATGACGTCACTGATCAAAAGTGCTGATAATTTTCATTAAAAAAAGGTATACACTACTTCTACTATCCTATCCCTGGATCTTCTCTCTCCCTATCTGCATTGTTTAGAGCAGGGATGTCAAACTGCTGGCCTGCGGGCTGGATGCATTATAGCGAAACTGCACCCAACCCATTGCCGGCAATGGCAAAAAAGTTGCGATACATCGCTTCATGTCACGTGACGTTGAGAGTTTGACACCCCTGGTTTAGAGTTTACTTTCCCAGTCTCTACATGGCTACAGCAACATCTTGCATTTATGATTACACTATTGTTAAATTGCCATCTTATAAAATTGTTGATATGATAATATTTTATCCATACAGAGGGCTTTAAACATAGCAAATGAGCAGTAGCATGGCAGCTGGAAATACTTTGGAGGATTTCAGTATTTTTGATTTTACCTTTTTTTTATAAACCTCTTTTGTATGAAGCAATCTCTTGCTTTTTTGTTTATTTTTGAAAACCCTAAACAAGTGTACCTAAATACTGAAAAAGCATAAGTGAGGGCCCTGGCAGTTTAATGAACCATATTTACAGAAAAGGAAGATACCTCTGAGCATAAATGTGTAAATCTGGCTATTTGATGGACAAAGTCACACAGATCCATGCTGAGTTGGACTTTGACCAGGCAGATGGTGTGATCTGAGATGAGTTTGAGTTGGTGACCCTTGAGGAGATGAACAGGGTTCTCTGTTGTTAGTTCAACCATCTCTGTGTTGGACTCTCCTGAATAGTGACAGTGGTCATGGGAGAGATCTGCAACTGGATCCCTATGGTGGTATACCCTCTTCTCATGAAACCATTGTTGGACTCAACTATCTTAGACAACTAGCATCCAGGTGGGCTGCAGTTGCAGAAGACCCTGTAGGAAACATATTTTCTATAATCACTTCAGTCAAGCCAGAATTCAGTATGGATATAGTATTAGTCACACTTATTAAGACTCATGGCAGAGCTGGGATGGAAGGGGTGCCTCCATCCTCATGCTCCTTGATCTCCCAGATGCTCTCAGTATTGTTGAATATGTATCCTTCTGAACTGATCCCAGGAATAGGGCTATCATATTGTAATGTTTCTCTTCCTTCCTCCAGGGATAGTTCCATGGGGGTGTGGTGGGGGGCTGTGGTTGCTCTCTAGGCCTCTTCTTTGTGTGATGTCACTAGAGTTTGATGCTGTCTCCTCTCTTGTTCAACAGCTATATAAAACCACTGGGGTGAGTGTTATGTCCTGAGCCTGTGCAAGCAGGCTCGGGGCATAGCAGACGGTCCCGGGCGGGTGCAAGCTGCACGGGACCAGACAGGCTGTCGCCAGTACATGTGCGTATGCACGGGTGCTGGCGCACCAAAAGTAGCAGATTGACCCAGGAAAGGCCTATAAAAGGAGGCCGAGAGTTTTGGGCATTGCCGCCATATTCCAATGTAAGCTGAACTGAAGAATAAAGGTTTCCTGAGAACTACAACTGCTTCTCGTGTCATACCATTTTGCGACGGACTCAACAGTGAGGTAATCCACCAGTTTGCAATTTAGCATTGTTAGTTTATTGATGATGCCCAATTATGTATTTCAATCCCAGGCTGACAAATGAGGCTGGCAAAGTCTTTTCCCAGTGCCTGGAGGCTGTGTGGATAAAAAGAAACCAACTTTGACTCAATCCTACCAAAACTGAATGTCATTGTTATGATCATCTAGATATGGATTTTTCCTTCCTTGCTCCTGGATGTGGTTGCACTTCTCCATTCAGGAATGTATGGAATCAGCTTCTGCTCAAACAGCAGGTGGCAGCTACAGTCAAGGGAGGTTTTTTTTTCAGAATTCCATCTAGTTCCCTATTTGCACCTTTTCTTAGACTGGACAGCCCTTCAAGCAGTCACTTATGCCACTGTCACCTAACAGCTCAACTACAGGTAGTCCTCAGGTTATGACCATTCATTCAGCAACTGTTCAAAGTTACAATAGTGCTGAATGGTGCTGAACTAAAGGACTAAAGTGAATTTGTCAATGCCGATGGTATTCAAGTGGTGCTCCAGTTGTTTTGGGATTGCACCCAAGATGCCTATGACTACTGATATCACTTTTGCTTTCTTTTGCCACAGTCGTTCTCTTTCTATTTGCAGGTCTTTGTTATGGGCTTTTTCTTTCTGCAAGAAGAATCCAGTGTGTACTATAAAAGCGATCAAAATCCAATCTCCAGACTTTTTCTCCTTTGCTATACTTGGTGAAGCAGTGTTGTTGTGCAACTACATTAGCTAGTTGATTTCAAACTCTGATTCTTTCTGTTTTCATACTTATCTTTTCAGCCTAAAGTTTCATATGTCTAAATTATACATATAGAGTACAATGCTTTGTAATATTAATTGGCAATAAATCCCTTTAGTGTCAAGTGAGTCTAAATATGTAAGCAGCCTAAAACTACATAATCAAGCCTAAGCCTAGCAGAATATCTTGAGACTTACCCATAGGTATTTAACCTTAAGATTACACTGTCAATCTCATATTTAAGTTAAAATTATTACTTAGAAAGAAATAATACATGAATTTCTGAAATAATACATGAATTCAAACTTATTATCATGAATGCTCTCATAAAGAATACAAAAGAGACTAATATTTTCCCCTGGAAAGTTTCAACAATACAATGGATGAATAAATCGATGGCAGGAAACACTTACATATGAGACATACATTTTGGGAAAGAGATCTACAAATGTTGATCTTAAAGGCCTTCAGTTGTTTAAAAAAAGGCAGTAGCATCTCAAAGGTAGCTCTTTAGTTTTTAATTAAAAATAAATTGAATCAAATCATAGTCGTATAAAAGTTATATCAAGGGATGAACTCCAGCGTGCACCATTGTTAGGGACAGTCTGAGTCTTCTGATTCGAAGGCTGAAGAGCTTGACCTTGACTGAGAAGGTTCAACCTGTACCCCAGGAATTAGATGAAGAAAGTACATCAGAGGAAAAAGAGATACCGGCTGAGTCATCTGATTCAATGCTTGAGCCAGGCAAGGACTGCAGCCCAGCAATATATCTCAGCTTACCTAAGCTAATAATAAGGGCTACATACAAGAGATAGCTTTGGTTATTGGCTCTTGTAGTCAACAACATTAGAATTTGCTACCTGCGATTCTGCAAGCTGTTGTTGACTACATGAAACCTTGGACTGGAAATGAATTATTCTTCGATCTTCCTGTACCCGAGATTCATCTCTCCTGACTCTATTGCTAAAGTTAGAACTTGGGCTGGTGTGCGTTTGTGTGTGTGTGTATGTATGTATGCAGAAAGCCTTGAATTTGCAGGGTGTTTGGGGTTACTTCAGTAAAAGATTTATGACTGCAATAAATATATTGAGTTTATTATCAGAAAGCAGCTGGGTGTGTGTAATTGGCAGCATAGGACAATGGGGGAACCAAAGACACTTCCACACAATCAGGATTTTCATTTGCAAAACCCTTACAAAACAATTTGCAACCAAGTTGTTATTAATGGTCTGCTGAGTTCAAAATGAACACAGTGAAGCAATCACCACTTCTCTTCTTTTCTTTTAGCTGACCAACATCAAGGTGAACTTTTGCAGTGGTGTCTCCCATTAAGCAAAAAATAAAATAAATGGCTAGCCCTAGTCTTCTCTCTGTTTTTCAGTTCACGTATCTGTGTGCATTTGCCTTCTTATAATGAGAAAACTGACTGAATTGTTAATGTGGAAGCTATGGAAGGGGAACTTGACTGCAAAAGGAAACAAACAAACAAATGTATTAAAATATCCCCAGCTGTCTTGCCCATGTTCCTTCATTGCCTTTAAAGGTCTTTGTCAGTTGTAATAGCATGCTAGTAATTTTGCAGTAGGGTACATTTGCAAAATATTGCACGTTGCTGTAGGTGGTGGTGGTGAGATTAAATTCTAAACTATACATAGAGGAAGAGGTAAGATCTAGGACCAATCTCTGAATTTCTATGAAGGATGTAATTAAGAATGAATGGTTAGCTGTACCCAGTCTGAAGCAAGGGAAAAAATGGAACACGTACAATGTATGCAGAACTACAGTAAATCAAAGAAAAATACGCTATTGCTTACACAGCCAAAAATAATTTCATCTTCAACTCTGACAATGCTGTAAAATCAGCCTGAGCTGGAACAGAGGCCAGAATTGTGTACAGCACTATTGTATTATTGCTGTTATCCTTGGACACTCACTTCTAAAAAAAAAAATAAGTGAGAGTGTACATAATGTAATCCAAATAAATTTGAACAGGACTAAGTAATTCAAGTGCATGCAAATATTGGCTCACTGAATGTCTACGTCAAATAAATAACATCAGTCATAAATTCCATTTAACAACTGAATAATTGAAATTATTCAAGGACTCAGTGCTTACCTGACACAACTAAAAGAGGCTTAGTTTTCTTTGTGATTAATGTGGTTAACTACCATCCATAGACTATCATAAGGCGTTTCTTATTTTGAGTTCCTTAGTTGTTATTTTTTCCACGGTTCATTGACATCCCTACACGGAATTAATCAATAGTGCACTAAACATGAGCAACTTCCTTGTGGGTTGGGTTTGGGCTAACGTTTGGTTAAAACCTTCTTGTTCAATAAGCAGGTTTTTTTTCTTTGAAGCCAAGGATTTTGGGAGCATTCAGGCCTCCATCAGCAATGGACAGCGCTCCTGATTAGACAACCTCAGACATGCTGGAGATATGTCAAGCACCTGGGAAAAATCTGGCAGGACAAATGGACCTGGCACTCCACAATATTTGCAGTTCTTTTTTCCAAGCTCCCTCCCTTTACACTGCTTTTGCAGCTCTGGCTGAAATAACTTCCCCAGATTTAAGCCTCTTTTTGAAGAATGCATGGAGGAAACTTTTCAGGAGTATTATTCTGTCCAGTTCTTTTTGTTTTTCCCCTTCCTGGGTACCAATAGTGTGGAATTATTGACAGATAGCCAGGGTCTGTGGGGTGGAGTTGGGAGAGAGAACAGAATTTCCTGCAAAATTCAATAACAGAAAGCTTGGGGCCCTGAAATCCCTTGCTAAATCTCCTCCTCCTCCTCTTCCTTTTACTCCTTTCGTCTTTTTGGTGATTAAAATAATGCCTTACAATCACCCTAGGAACAACCTCAGTGAAATTCCAGAGGCGAGGTGGGATTCTGGCCTAAAGGAAATGAATGAAACCTGGAAAGGAGTGATTGCCTGTTTTGGGGTAGTGGTCTTCCTTCTGATGACCATTGGGATTATTTATTGGCAAGTAGTGGATCAGCCAAACACAAACTGGATCCTGAGAAGTAGTACCAGTGGTCTGACCTGGGATCGAAAAGATCACAGTCTCATCCTTCAGACTTTGAAAGAAGAAAGAACCTTGCTAAAGATTCACATGGGAAGCTTCCCAGATGTGGAGATACCTTTCATAAAGAACATGTGTTGGCAGAATCGGTCTGAATTCTGTTACATCTGGGAAGCTATAGTTGAACTGAAGGTCTTCCTGGACTCCGACTCTTCTCCCAACAACGAGTGTTACAACATCAACTGGACTCCCCTTCACTGCCAGGTGAAAGTAAAGGTAACTAATTATAGCTTTTCTTTATTTCCTTCTATTGTATTCTCTAAATAACTTTATAACAAGGCAAATTCAGCTGTGGTGAGGTCAAGATAGTAATGATGTGAAGAAAGAATAGGCTTTTGGCCAGCTTGGACTTCAGACTGATAACTACAGTAGCAAACAGTTGCTGCACTGAACTTAGTTTTTAATTGTAAACATAGAAAATCTTTATTTCTACCTTCCCACCATACAGAGGTATGTCAAAAGAATCTAGAGAGGGATTCTCCTGCATAAATGCTGTGAAAATCTCAAGATGCAGGAGGTAATGGATCATATAAAGCTGGCGCTCATAAAATTAAAAATGGCAATTGTACTATAATTAAATCCCAAAGTGATTTCAGTGCAGAATTGTGAGTTAATGGAAGATACTTTCATTTAATGAAGCTTCAAGCAAAGCATTCTCTCAGAGCCGTTTCTTGAAAGAATGTGGTTCCTTCATTTCTAAGAATGAGGCAGTCACTTTACTTCCCTTCCATTTGCTAACTGAACTTCCCTTATTCTCCTCTAGTTCTTGCAACACCTCCCCCCCCCAAAAAAGGTTATTGTGCAGGCACCAGCCACATCTACCCAAAAGGCTCTTTCTGCTTCTCCAAGGCTGGAGGATACCAAAAGGAGTCTGGAAGGCACCACAAAATTTGTCAACAAGGCAAATTATGTTGTCTCTTTCCTTGGATTAAGTGGATGTGACTTCCATCAGTATGAAATTATTGAATCCAAGCTATCTTGCATAGCTTAATTGTTGAAAAGATGCTACAATAACACTATCAAATATATACAATAGTGTCAAAAATAACAAACTGAGGTATATGAGTGGTCACCAAAGTTAAACGTCCAAATGACAGCAGAATTCTTCCTTGCTATATTTACTCTGTCTATGTGTGAGAGAATACTGTATGTGAGAAGGCTTTAGATCAGTGGTTCCCATTTGGGGTCGAACGACCATTTCACAGGGGTCGCCAAACAAGGCTGTCCGCCATTTTTCCCCCTTTTCTTTGGCCACGCCCCTGGCACCCGGTGATGTATAAGTGGTTGGGGGTCACCATAAATTGGGGAACTGTATTATGGGGTCGCGGCATTAGAAAGGTTAAGAACCACTGCTTTAGATTAATTTCAAACTAACAGATGTCTTTCTACCAGAACCAAAATGTAAGAACTGTGCTGTTCTTTGGACATGCAAAGCTGGAAAAGATGTGTTTTCAGATGCACGTATGGGCTTACACAATTGGAAATAGTCTACCGTGAGAAATGAGCTCTCCTTCCAAACAAATATCTTAATGATTGAGATTTTGCAAAATGAATGTTGCAGCTAAGAGATTTTATATTTGAGATTAAGGACAATGGAAATGCAATGTTAATTAAAGAAACTTTAATGAAAATGTGTTTTGTAATTAACTACTGATCTCTGTTTTTTGCCCCCTTTCTGGTTTCTTTGTATACACTGTCAATCAAAAGGCATTATGCAGAGCTTTTATCTTTTCTTTCTTTCTTCTCAACACTTTTATGGGAAAAGGAGGAAAAAGAGATACTGTGGAAAACAGTGAAATACAGCAGCACCTGAATTGCCAGACACTTTCACAGCTTCAAAAAATTGCCTCATTTGGGAATTATTTACTAATATATTAGGCATTCCTGGAAAATAAATTCAAAATTGATGCTATGTGAGAAATGCTTTTCCATTTCAAAATTCTGGAAAGACAGCACGAGAAGGAAGAAATCATAACAGAAATAGTATAAACAGTGGAATGAATTTGCTCTGTTTTAAGCATGAGGATTATGCTAGGTTAACTTTCGTCCATCACAGTGAATCATAATTCTTTTTTTTTTTTTAGAGGTCCACCAACTGCAGCATAAATAACGCCAAATCTTTTCAGAGTCAGATCTTGGTGACTTGAAAGACGAGAGACCACATATAAATTCTAAAAGGTCTTGTTATATCTTCTGCTAGGGTTCTCCAAATTTGGCAACTTTAAGTCTTGTGGATTTCAACTCCCAGAAATGAAGTCCACAGTCCCAGAAATGTCTCAGAGAACTTCCAGCTAGTTAGCTTTCCATCTCCCAGCCCTTTGGATCCCAACTTAAAATATGCTTGAGACTGATTTGGGCAGTTTTAATAATTTTGTAATAGTTTAAGCTATTTGAATAGCATTTTGAAAGAGTACAACTGTAAAACAACCCTTAACATTTAAACCTCAATTTTAAATGACTCCAATAATGAAAGACCTCTAGTCCTTTGAGATCCATACATTCAGATCTGACCTAAGGTCATCCAATTAAAAAAAAATCCCAGTTGAATCAGGACAGATAAAAGTGTTTTTCTTTTTACACAGTGCATAATTAAACTTTGGAAATTACTACCACAAAATGTAGTGCTGTGTACAGGTTGGCTGGCTTCAAAAAATGGGTTGGACCATTTCATGGAAGTCATGGGGATCAATAGCTATTAGCCTAGTTAACAGTGAAGGCCATCTGCTGCTTCTTTGTGCAATTGGTTGTCCACTGTGAGAATGAACTGCTGGACTTGATGGGATGACAGTTTTTAGAATACCACTGTTGAGCATGAGTGGAATCATAGAGGTGTTTAAAATCAGTATATTGGATCCATTCCATCCTGAGGAACCACAGAGACATAACAAGGCAATGCCAGCCATTTATCAAAGTTATTAGTAAGCTCAGAGTTGAATCAATTATAACCATATGTGAAGCTGATGTCACTATTCAGATTATTCATGTTCGTAAAAGATTGTATATACTGTACAGGAACCTTCTACTGATATTATAACAACTATGGATTGGTTTGAAGATAGAATCTGCTCAGACAAAGCCGTTCTTCACATTCTGCTGTCTTCTATACAGTAGAAGTGCTTTGTGGATAACAGGCAAACAAAAAGTCTAACAATGGCAGTGTTCTGTAAGAGACCAGTGTTCTGTAACTAGCAGCATTTCTGTATGCCAGCTAAGCTAAAGTTTGAATAGACCTCCATTAAAGAGAGCAGAGGATTCAAAAAGAAAGTATTACCTTAATCAATACAGAAGTATTTCTAATATAGGAATTGAACTTTTAGCCATGTAAATAAATCCTGACAGCCATCTTGTAACATCCAGAGAAAGTGGCTTTTCAAATGAAAGATAATAATTTTGGTAATAAGCAGTAAATACAGAAATTACCCCTTCGAGGGACTTATTATTATATGCTGCCTGCTTGTTTTTTTTATGGCAACATGGTAAATCTTTGTTAATAATAGGAGCGCAGGATGGATTAATCAAGTCACATTATATTTTAATTGGCTTACACTGACATATACCATTGCCTTCAGCAGTCTTTTTCTAAATCTTATCCTTTGGAGTTCTCTAATATCGTTCTCAATTTGTAATAGCAAAACTTTTGACCCTGCATAAGAACACCATTATTTTAATTATGTTATTCTAAAGAATCCTGTTAATTATATATTTTTAAATCAAAAAGGATATTTTCAATCAGATCATTTATAACTGGATTTCAGTTTTACAAAAGACCTTTTCATAAAAGGAGCCACAGAAAATAAAATACATTTACCGTACATTTACTGAAAGCTAATATGGTAAAAAAAGAAATCTATTCTCTAATTTCACAAAGATATTCTTCCCCGACAGAATAGGCTTCTTATTTTTCCACCTCATTCGAAGGTTACTTTAGAATTTATTTTGATAACAATTGCACATTTTTGTTTTTAAATATACTCATTATTATAAAGTAGTGAATGGAGGGAGGGGTAGTTGTTGCTACATTTTTCTTCAATTTTCTGCAGCCACCTTGGCTACCCAACTCACTGATTTGAAAAATATAAGAAAAAAATCCTTCATAATTTCCCTGAAGCATAGAAAGATATAGGAGAACTGCAGATCACCAGATAGATAATAACATAGTAAAAGAATTAAGTATGATAATAGATTGGATGAAGGCTAATACATTGAAGTTCATATCAGACAAGTAAATGGTATTATTACCCATCTCAGTAAGTTTCAATCTGTTCTGAAAATATTTACACCCCTCTTGAAAAATTGGTCCCATAATTTGGGGATGCTTCTGATTTAGGGTTGAAAGAAATGGCACTTTGATTTTGATGACTTGAAGTATCCTTTATAGCAGGGCTTTTCAACCTTTTCACCCATTGTACCACTTTTAGGATATGGCAACATTCTGAGTACCACCAGTCTCCTAGCAAGGTGTCAAAAACTTGATGACCCCCCCCCAAAAAAGGAAAAAAGTGATAAAGTACAGGTAGTCCTTGACTTACAACAGTTCGCATAGTGACTGTTCGAAGTTACAATGGCACTGAAAAAGTGCCCCCAAGACACAGCCGAGCAAGACACCTGCCTGCCCACACGGCGGCGCTCTTCCTCCTGTGTGAGGTTTCCATTGTTGTGAGCATTTCTGTTGAAGATTGGCAGCAGGGGTGGGATGGAGGGTGTTTGGTTTTTATTCCCCCCATCTGCTGGGTGGTTGCAGCAGGTTTTGGTCCCTTCACATGATCCTGGGACACTGTGACGTCATAAATATGAATCAGTTGCCAAGCATCTGAATGTAAATCACAAGACTCTGGAGATGCTGCAACATTCCAGCTGATCGGTGCTTTTTCTGGGCTCAGCAGAAGTGCCAAGATCAGTGCTGCTTTCCAGCTGATTGGTGCTTCTTCGGGGCTCAGCAGAAGCGCCAGGATCAGCGGCAAGCTGCAGCTGGAGCCTGCACTGATCCTGGTGCTTCCACTGAGCCCTGACAGCCCCGAAGAAGTGCTGATCAGCTGGAAAGCGGCACTGATCCTGGCGCTTCCGCTGAGCCCTGACAGCCCTACAGCTCCAGCCATCTCTCAGGCTTGTGCAGTGCTGCCACTGGTTCAGCTCATTCCCCTCCCCCACTACCATTTTTCTAAGATGATCACGTACCACTTGCAGGTGCCAATGTACCACAGGTGGTGCCCGTACCACTGGTTGAAAAGCCCTGCTTTATAGCATGCTGTATTTCTTCTGGACAAAAAATGCAGGTAGTCCTCGACTCACAACCACAACTGAGCCCCAAATTTTCATTGCTAAGCAAGAGAATTGAGTTTTGTCCCATTTTACAACCTTTCTTGCCACAGTTGTTAGGTTAATCACTGCAGTTGTTAAGTGAGTAATCTGGCTTCCCCACTGCTTGTCAAAAGGTCACAAAAGATGATCACATGATCCGAGACACTGCAACTGCATGGCATGCAATAAATGCCCATTGCCAAGCATCCAAATGTTGATCACGTGACCGTGACTGCTGTAATCGATGTAAGTGTGAAAAATAGTCATAAGTCACTTTTTTCAGTGCCAATCACTAAATAAAAGTTCGTAAGATGAGGACTTCTTATACTACAGTATCAATTACATACATTTTCTAGTAACCTCTTGATTGAATAACTATGATTTGTGGTATGTGGGACCTTCAAAACAAAGCTGCAAAGTTGTATTGGAAAACAAACAATATGATCTTATCTTGCCAGAGTTTCATCAGCTGCAATGATCACCAGTTAATTTCTGAGCTCAATTTAGTGTTTTGGTATTGTTTTTTTACAGCACTTAGGGCTTGGGCGAAAATATCCAGGAATGCCTTCACTTTTATGTCCTTGTCCCAGCTCTTTGTTCATTTAGTGGCCCTCTTCCCATGTCCTTACCAAGTGAAGTAAGGCAGGAGGCTTCAGGAAAGAGGACCTTCATCCTCCAGTGTATGTGACCTTGTTTAGCAAGCTGTCCTCATACCTTTTATGATATGATATATTAAACCCAGCCAGATCATAGCCTATCCTCAGAAGCTGATTGTGCTAAAAAAATCTCTTCATTCAAGAAAGCACAAGATTTCATTTTTTTAATCTTGTATTTTGCTTTACAGGATTGCTTTTCCATGATAAATGTCTCCTGGTATGGGGGAGCCAGTGTCAGTAGACAGCACTGGCCTCTGAATAGTATGAACATCAAATCCCAACCGTTCACTATCAGTAACCTTAGTAAAAGCCCAAATGCTTTTGGCTCTGTCTTAGAAAGATATTTTTTGGGATCCACTGGTAAGTTTCCTTGTCTTATTTGATGTCCTAAATTGTAGTGTCTAAATACAATAGCACACACAGTTTTGAAAACTTAGTTAAAAACAGCTGTCAGGGCATTGGGTAAAATGGATTACGACAAAATTTTGGATAACTACTTTGTTGTCCTAACTGATTATCGGAAAGAGGCCAGAAATGTTTGTACAGTCTTCTGGCTCCAATGCTAAAACAGCTTGGCCAGCAATGGCTACCACTGTTTGCCCTTATTAGTAGGAGGAAGTGTTACTGCTTTATTATCTGGGATGTCTTATTATGGTCCCAAGTATTATTCTTCATTTCTGAAAGACTAAGAGGAGACGGGCAGCTATTTACCTTAAGTATTGACCACCCCAGAACTGAGAGTAATTTGTCATATTTCTAATAACATAGTTCAGTCTGTGCATTATGCACAATGGTATCTACTTGCTTGTGCAACAATGCATGAGACTAGGCCATCTTTGCCCATATGAGGACTTCCAAATGTGTTGAGACAACTCTGAGAATGTCCTGGGAGGGCACTCTCAGAGAGCTTCTAAGAATCAAGCTCAATTCAAAAGAGTTCCTACCTTAAGGAACAGAAGGAATCTGCCCAGCCTACGCTATCAAGAAGAGAGGGATTGCTTAGGATGTAAAACTTACATGAGATTGAAGAGGCATGGTGTGACCAAAGACAGTCCTTCTCCAGAACAGTTGATGTAGAAGATTTACCCCATGAAACACATCACATATCCCAAGAAGTTGACTTTCCACAGAGCTGTCAAAATGATAGTCATAATGATAGTATTTCACCTGGTTTTTGGTAACACAGTTGCAGTTATCTGATTGATTATTGGTCCTAGGCTGTTATCTTTTTAACATATGAGCTTTATATATTGTACCCCTAATTTGTAACTCACCCTTAGTCTTGGGAGTTAGGCACTACAGGTACTCTTTGGTTTACAACCACTTGTTTAGCGACCATTTGAAGTTACAGTGGCCCTGAAAAATTGCCATTGTTATGATCATCTTTCACACTTACAATAGCATCTCCATAGTCACATGATCAAAAATTAGATGCTTGGCAACTGGCATGTATTTATGACAGTTGCAGTGTCCCAGGGTCATGTGATCCCCATCTTCTGACAAGCAAGTGCCTTGCTCAGCATAGGATTTTGGGCTTGATTGTGGTCATAAATCAATGACTACCTGTATATAAATTCAAATGAATGCATGAATGAATGTGTCTGCTTTCGATTCTTCAGGGCATGAACAGTCCCTAATACTGTTTGTTAGGCTAAGAAAACAAAAGACCAAATGTGTTTTTTCTGCTTTGTAATTCTGCTTAGAATTGTCTGATGGTCAAGGGAGACTTTAACAAGGTTCCAAATATGTGAAGAGGGGATGTATGGAATGGAATTATAAATTTAAATCTATCTAAGAATAGGACAGAAATATGGTCCAAAACTGAATAGGGATGCAGGTACTTTCCATATCTTAAAATATCTTCTTCAAAAGGACTAGACAAGGAGAACCTATTTCACCCTTCCTTTCCATCTTAAGTGGCATAAACAACATGATAGCATTAAAAACATTTGCCACACTTTACATTGTAAAGCATTTTTAATGTTCTAAGTGTGAACTACTGAGCTTCTGGTAACCTAGTGTCTCTGGCCTGTCCCATTTTAGTTGATCAAGGGGAAATGCTTGCTCCTGAAGAAAGATTTGTCACAGTTCAGAACTGAGTATCATACTGTGAAGAGAATTTATTGCCAGGCTCAACAAGTCTGAAAATCAGGGAACGCCTCTCTCATATAGTGTTTGGCTTGGAGAGACTATTGATTAAAAAGAGATCTAATTACTCAGAGTTTCCATCAATGTTTGTAGACTATGGAATTAATTATATCTATTATACCTATTCCATCTGTAAACAACAGAATGTTTATGCAATCTCACCCATAAGTAACATAAATAAAATAATGTAGTCATACATATAAGGCTCGTGTGACTTTATCATACAGTATACACACTCATACATAAAGACCCATAGTCCTCTATTGTATTAGAACTCCCATTTACAAGGATAAAGGTGAAGGGAGCTGTAATCCAAAACAACCCAGCACTAGGCTGGGTTGACAAATTAAGATACTAACTAAAAAGTAAAAAATCAACATCTTCAAAGAGGAATGGGGGACGGTTCTTATTTCCCACAGCATACATCAAACATTATTTCAGCATATGCTAGCATGTAGTCCATCTTGGCTGACTATACTGGGAATCTGAAAACAACATGTGAGAAGAAAGCAGTTGCAAACCACTTTGGAACTTTATCTTTCACAAAGAAAAATTATATTGAAAAAGTATTTAATGATTCATGAATAACGCTTTTCTGTATATTATCATTGAAGGAGTGACCATGATGATGGTTTCAGATACACCAATCTCTCTCTCAGTGGAGAGAAACAAACATTTTTGCCTTGAAAATACCCCTGGCACAGACATGGCTTCCCTGCAGTACACTGTGTGCGTGAGTCAAAATATCACATCTGCTCATCAGGAACTGGGAAGTCGACTTCTGAGACAACAACCAAGGTTGCCAGATACAGACATACTTAGGTAAGAATTAAGTGAAATGTTGTAGGGTTGTCTGATATCTCAAGCAGTTATTTAATGACAAGATCTAGGAATTCTGGGAGTTGTTGTCCTTACATATTAAAAGGGCTCCAGACTGGGAGAAAAAGTCACAGACATATAGCTTGATCCTAAATCAGACTGAAAAGTTCACTATGACTCCCAAAGATGCAGGGACGTATTGCCCTTTTGAGCGGAGTACAAAAAAACTGTAATGTAAGACCTAAAATAGTTGAAAAACATAAAGAAATCAGGAGAACTCTATCAACAAAAAGTCCTGTGCTTATATGTATAGCATATGACTGTAGGGGAAGGAGTGGCAGAATCTGGGGGCGGAATTAAAAGAGTAATCAACCTAGAATCTCTACATAACCACAAGTGAGCTAAGTCCTCCCAAATCCATTAACTTCTAGCAGGTGCTAACTGTCAATTAAGGATATTCCTGTGCTTAGGTATCAGCAGCAATAAATCATTTTAATTTGGATGGACCTGATCTCTTGCGCCTGACATTGACCTATCTAATAATCACTCTATCTACTGTGTCCCTCACCCTTGGAAACCAAGATAAGTGTGGCCTGCCTATAAAACTATTAAAATATATATATTATTTTTCTCGTCACAAAATCTGTGATCCAGGCAATTCAATTGTTGTTAAATCAAGCAAGACTTTTCTTTTTAACAGGTTACCAGTCTGGAGGTATTATGGTATGGCTGATTCTTTTGCTCAAATGGAGCGAGGACTGAGATCTTTCTACAATAAGCTTCAAACACATAATCTTGGGGAGGGCATAATTGCTCTCAGTGAAGAGTCTACAATGGTACTTCGAAATTTGGTATGTGCAGCAAATCCAAGTATTATCCACAAAGTTCATTCCTCAACAATTTTTAATTCTAATATTCTGCATTAAATTATAGTTCAGAATATCATTCGTCAAATGCTTGGCGAACAAATCTTTTTCCAAGCCACTGGGTATTTCCTTGATTATGACAGTATTTAATAGCTATTGGTGTACTTACTAGCTGTAATTGTTAGAGTTTTAACATCTTACAAAGATTTATTACAGAAAGAAAAAGGAAGGAAAGAAGGAAGGAAGGAAGGAAGGAAGGAAGGAAGGAAGGAAGGAAGGAAGGAAGGAAGGAAGGAAGGAAGGAAGGAAGAAGGGAGAGAGAGAGAAAGAAAGAAAGAAAGGAAGGAAGGAAGGAAGGAAGGAAGGAAGGAAGGAAGGAAGGAAGGAAGGAAGGAAGGAGATGGAAGGAAGGAAGGAAGGAAGAGGTCATTTAATATAGTAGGCCGTGTGCTGTTTCTTAAGGCCAGAGGACTGTACTCCTTGGGCTACATTTTCAGAACTTCTAATCTACATTGTTGAAACAACTATTTGGACAAGACATGGATGTTATTATTAGATATTATCATAAATCTGACAAGCAACTTCTGAGGCTCCTATTAACACACTTTCTAGGCCCTGACCAGATTCACCCAGTAACATCCAAGATAGAAGCATACAGGATTACTGCATCATTACTGAAAGTTATGATCTCATAAGCAGAAGTCCATCTAAGCATGCTCAGGCCCCTCAACTACAACCACCAAAGAGTTTATTCAAGTTTTGCCTACCAATCTATACACAATATCTCTTTTGTGCTGTTTCCTGGGTTTCTGTTTTGATGCCACTAATGAGGAAACTGGAAAATCTCTCTTGGCTATATAATTTAGGTGCTCAGCTGGAGCTCTCTTTAATAAGCAATGGTTTGCATAATGAGCAATTAGTCTTACTCTCCATATAACATAGTTCTTGACCTCTGCAACAAAGGTACAGTCTCATTGTTCTCTCTTCTCACTCCCTTGCAGGATCACGTCTATTTACCTCTGCTCAGAAGAAAAAGGCTGCATGCACCAAGATTTATCATGAACTACTTCCGTATGAAACCACTAAAACTTTCCATCACTCTGTCCCCTTATACAAGCATCAACTCACCAATTTTCCAAAGGTCCCTGCAAGAAGGGAAAGAAGAATTTTGGTTGAGCCACCATTCTGAATCCAGTGACTATTCGGTACAATTTGCTAATGTTGTCTCTTTTATTTGGCCCATTGCTTTTAACAGTCATTTATATCATACGATTATTTGGCCGCTTGATTTATTTTAAAGGAAAACGAAAGCCAAAATTTGTATAAAGTACAGGTGAGAGATTGGATCACTTTATTGTTTTGTCCTAAAAATTGTGCCACACTCCAACTGCTTTGGGCAGATTCTCCTTTTGCTGGGATTTGGATGTTATGGCAGGAGGGAGGCATATTACCCTACTCAGCTCCCTCTATATCATTTTTTTTTTCAAAGTTGTTGTTATCTGCTTGCGTGGACATAGGCAGGTTATGGCTTAATCAGGATGGAGGGATATGCAAGCACCCCAGTCCAAGTTGCAGGAACTTCTAATTCTTTTGTTTTAGAGTTAGCAACTGTCAGAAGGAAAAAAAAAACCACATTACAGGTAATCTTCAACTTATGACCATTTATTTAGTGACTGTTTGAACTTAAGATGGCATTGAAAAAAGCGACTTTTGATCAGTCCTTGCACTTATATTACAGCATCCCTTTACTCATGTGTTTGTGACTTAGGTCTATGATTAACCACTTTTTTTTTTGCAAAATACTGGACTATCTAAACATCCACAGGTAGTCCTCAACTTATAACAGCTCATTTAGTGACCATTTGAAGTTACAACAACACTGAAAAAAGGACTTCTGACCGTTTTTCACACGTACGACCATTGCAGCATTCCCCACAGTCATGTGATCAAAATCCAGACGCTTGGCGATTGACTCGTACTTATGATGGTTGCCATGTCTTGGGGTCATGTGATCATTTTTTGCAATCTCCTGACATGCAAAGTCAATGGGGAAGCCAGATTCACTTAACTCTGCTACTAACTTAACAACTTAAGTGATTCACTTAATAACTGTGGCAAGAATGGTTGTAAAATGGGTCAAAACTCAGTTCACAATTCTCTCACTTAGCAACAGACATTTTGGGGTTCAATTGTGGTCTTAAGTTGAGGACTACTTGTATTGTGTTTCATAATAGTAGTAGTAGTAGTAGTAGTAGTAATAAAGTTGGAAGGGACCTTAGAGGACATCTAGTCCAACCCCCTGCTCAGGCAGGAAACCCTATACTATTTCAGAGAAATGGCTGTCCAATCTCTTCTTAAAAACTTCCAATGTTGGAGCATTCGCCACTTCTGGAGGCAGGTTGTTCCACTGGTTAATTGTTCTAACTGTCAGGAAGTTTCTCCTTAGTTCTATGTTGCTTCTCTTCTTGATTAGTTTCCACCCATTGCTTCTTGCCCTGCCTTGTCCTTCTCTGAGTGACCTTTGTTTCTCCAGAATCTGTGGGAGGCCAGAATCTGTGGGAGGTGTGTGTGTGAGAGAGACATTCATAGGGCAATACTCTTCTCCTGATCAATTAAAAAGCAAGTGCTGATTGGACTGCAGTGTCTTTAACATATTTTCAGCATTCTTGGGCTGCCTGAAAAGATAACCACAGTTATACTTCAAAGTGGTTTGTGAAAGATTAAGAAATGGAAACTTTGGCATGGAAATATTTTATACATCACATACACAGATAAGCATGTTGAGTGATGATCCAGAATGTTTTATATTGGAGCAGTACAAAATAAGTATATACCTATCGTGCAAAATAAGTATATACCTATCCTTTCAGTGTACATAGTGCGCAGAAAAAGAATGAGAAACAGTAAGTCAAAGAAACAATACACCTGAGATAAGAAACAGGAAAAGAAAATTAAAATTTATATGGTGAACACTATTCACTATACCTTTTTTGTCTTGGCAAACCAGTTATGCGACCACATATTCATTCACCTTTCATCTATTGACTTTTCTTTGCTAAGGCTCTCACCTCTGTTCACCCAATTCGCCTACGTGCAGATCGTACATAAATTCTATAAGTCTAACGTTATATAATCAAAGCTGACCTTTTTAATCCTCCAATTTAGCAGATGAATCGCATGCTGTTGGCTAATCAGTTTATAGGAATTAGTCTCCACTTCTGCTACAGCTTTCTTATGTCCTCCTTCCTGTTACAGGTGCCACTCCTCACCAAATGGAAAGGGCAGTTTTCAGCCTGTCTGAATGTAACCAGTCAGGCTGCAGTGCTCTGGTACCTGGGCCAGGTGAAGCTCCTGAAACAACAACTGGGAGCAAAGTATGTGGTTTTTGAAGGTAGTGAAGGCAACATATTTATGGAACAAGCGATCCCACCTCCTGCGGAACTCCGAGGGGATCAGTATATTCGTATTTTGGGCTCAATAGCAACGATGTTAGGCAATTCATCAATAATTACTGGTGCTACAAGGTTGGTTTCAGGAAAAATTCTCACACAATATCTTGTCCTAAGGCAGGCCTGTCTTCCAATCTTTTATTTATTTATTAAATTTGTCACCCATCTCATCGCAAAGTGACTCTTCAATGTCTTTATAAAAGAAAGTGAAAGTTCTTGGAAATAGACAATACTTGTTAATGCTATACATCTTTGGTTTAGAATTCCCTGCAATCACCTTCCCCAAATTAGATCTCTCTCCCCCATTTCCAAATATGTTGCCTGTCAGAGTATCATGGGAATTGTGGGAAATGACCTCAAGCACATACACTGCAGAGAGCACTAATTTGGGGAAAGTGGCTGTCCTCAAAGTTGTATTTTTTCTTCTTTCTTCCTTCTTCTTGTTTTTAGGTTCAGTACAGGATTAAGAACATTGGGTTAGTTTATTTTTCAGAAAAACTTTAAGAAAGAATTAAGGAAAGCGCTGACTAGCCCTGAAACCCACCTAATAATGCTTTCCCCCTATCAGTTACAAGTGGAAAGATTTGTCATGCATATTTATTATGGGACTATTTTCCCATTAATTTTCTGCAGTGAAAGAGTAGTATATCATGGAATAAGTGGTCTTTCCAGCATTTTGGATATGACAAAGAGTTCCATCTTATCCCCCAAAACATATACAGTGATACAGGACCTTTAGGGTACCAAGATGATGGCAAACATTAGAGCAGTAAATAATGAGATTCATAGTTTACATCCCATGTTAAAGGCACTGAGATGGAGAAAGCCCATTCCTTTGGAGGGGACATAGCATACAATCCAAGAGGGTGAAAGTGCACATAGGGATCAAGATGGGTTCAACAGTTGAGTTGGAATTCCTTTTACATTGTATCCTTTTCTCTAATAACCTACAATTGGAAAAAGGAAGGATTCTGTACTCCATATTGCAAGTAGAGGAACTCATTTGCCAACCCCCCCTCCATTGTGGACTCAATTTCTGAATGACTTTCTGAATGTGTACAGTGTGACTTGAACATCCACAAATTCTGCTACTATTGAAATAACTATTGATTCCCTCCGAAAAAGATCTCTATTTCATCTGCAAAATGCAGGGTTGTTTTGGTTTTGCTTAGAAGCAAAGTAGACATGCTCATGGGACTCAAAGTTATCATCCTATTTCAACATGCTGGATTTATTTTCCTAGGACACTTACACACAGCTGTATTTTTCCTTCTCAGACCCTTCACAGACAGATTGTCCTGCCCATCCTCACTATCACTATTCGCTAATTCTTAAGACAATATGTGTTCCTTCAGGCTGGCCAATAAAGGAAGGCAAAGCAAGCACCCTACTTATCCCCACTTCACAATAAGCACATAAAGTATTGGCTACTGTAGGCAAAGACACTATAACATCATTTGGTAGTTCGCCTCATTTTAAGCAGAAGAACGAAAGAATGCCAGTGTGTCATGACCCTTAGTCACTTAGCACAATTGCAAGTTCCTGCCAATGGGAAATTTCGTGGAGATCTAGCATCCCATGCCAGGAACTAGATGATTTAGGTAGATTGCTTTGATCACAGTCTCAATAAGGATCGTTCCTTTGTTTTCCTACTCAAGAAGTTTTTACACTCTAAATTGAGTTCCTCTTGCTCTAGGAAAGTGCTCTTCCACCAAAATTCTAGACTCCCCAAAACCTGCATGAATATCTCTCAAACTTCTCCTAACTCCATGCATTTACAAGCAGCAATTCTCTGCTCTGTCCCATTTTTTTCATTATTTTCTGTTAAAAGGAGTTTTCTACACATGCAAGTCAATGACCCCAGCATTAATTCTAATAATCTTAACAGCTAAAGCTATCATTTCACTGGGATAAATCTGAACAATAGAAATGCCATTTAGTGTTTTTGAGTTCAGTCCTTAATCTGAACTTTTTGAATGGCTGCTTTCCATGCTTTCTGAGTGATGTAATTCTTGTCTTTTAATCCCCCAACTGTCTTAAAAGAACTTCATATGAGTCTGAATTGCACATCGGAAAATATTTATTTCCTGGCCCTCCTTTGACAAGGTTCATTTTCTAGTGGGATTCTAGAGAGGAAACTTCAACTAGCTACACTCCTCCTCTGATTGCTGTATTCTAGTGAATAGAGGAGTGGTTGATCCCCCAAAGCCATGTATGCAATCATCTGTTCTAGCCTATCCTTTCTATTTAACAAGTAAGGAATAATACACCAAAAGTAGAGTCTGTTTCCATGTTCAAGGTCCATTTGACTTTTTGTGATTTTGATGTAGCATTTGGTACTTCCAGTAAGCACTTACTGTGCATTTGAGTAATTTCATGTTTACTGTATAATTATTTGTATTGCTTATAGATCCAGCCACCTGCCACTCTTTTTCCAAATGAATCCACGACAATCTGACTGGAGCTACGCTGGTTTGAAAGGAATTATTCCATCTGTGCTTCATTATAGTCTTCTTGGTTATAACTTTTTCATTCCAGAGGCAATAGGTAATATTATTATATGATCTGCTTCTTTCAAAAGCTGTTTTAAAAGGCTAATAAATGAAAAATCAGGCAATAACTTCCAGTATAACATATTTATAAATAGAAAGCTGCAAATCCAGTGCCCCCTTTTCTATGTAATATTCAGGGGAGGGAATCCTTTCTGAAGCTCCACCCTGTCACTGGCAGTCAGTTTGTATACCTAGATGGATTACTGGTCTGACAATAAAAGGCAGCTTTTTAGATTCCTACTGGGAGACAAATGTACACAATCTGACATCAATGTCCAATTTTGCCACCACACTGGAGTTATTTGATTTCAGTTATTAGGCATTAGTCCGCATACTAGTAAAAACAATTGAAGGATATAAGTAAAAAAATCCATATGCATTTAATCCTGGCTTCATTCATCTAACTGATGAAAGCACAAGGCTTTTTGGTTTTGCAACTGATTCATAGCATGGATTACATCTGTGAAAGTTTTCCAGGTTTAATGCCTTCAAGACTCCAAGTAGAGCTAAAATGGTTTTGATCTGAAAACTGAAGACGTTGTGTTATGTTGACAAATCACCTGATTAAGAGGCAGTTCCCTTTGATAAGACATGATTTTTTTTTCATATTTCTGATTATGAATGAAAATTCCCAGATACTTTTGGCTGTTCTTCACTAGCCATCAATTTGCACCATTTTGCTCAAGTTATGCCAAGAAGCTTTCTGAACATTTGCAAAATCTAAAATAAAGCAATTGGGCATATCTAAAATGTCACCTCTTATCTTCTATACTTGTGGCGGACAAGAAACGTGGTATTTTTCCAATTCCATGGATATGTCATCAACTTTATTTCTTTTAGTCTACTGACTTTCATTTTATGGCTTCAGGCAGCACTCAACATTTAGTCTTAAAATAATTGAACGCAAGCAGAAAAAAAGACAGACACTTAAAAGCTGGGCAAAGAGATTGAAGCCCTTTCCTAGAAGAAGAAGGCAACCAGCCTAAAGGCCAATGAGGAATCTGTTACTGAATAAGCAAAGCTAGCTGTTAATGTCAAATGCATCCATCACAAGCCTGGGGAAAGGCATTCTGCTGAAAATGGAATTGAACAGGGCAAATTGTGTGCAAATAGTTGTACTGCAAAAAAAAAAAAAAAAAAAAAAAAAAAAAATTGGCCTAAGCCATATTTAGCTAAAAGCCTGAGGTGATTTCAGATTGCCTAGAATAAAAATTGTTTCTGTAATTTCAAGATTCTCTCTGAATGTTGGAATAGACCGCTTTAAACTCTGTTCCCATAATCTCCAACAATCATTGCCTTTTTAAATTATGCTTCATTGAATAAAACACAAAAAACTAGTAATGATAGTAATAGTAGTAAAGTTGGAAGGGACCTTGGAGGTCATCTAGTCCAACCCCCTGCTCAGGCAGGAAACCCTACACCATTTTGGACAAATGGCTGTCCAGTCTCTTCTTAAAAACTTCCAGTGTTGGAGCATTTACTGCTTCTGGAGGCAGGCTGTTCCACTGATTAATTGTTCTCCACTAGATTGACATACTGTGTCATGCCTTAAGCCATGGTTTACAACCCAGAGGAAGTAAATTTGCACATCATAATAAAGATATATCCTATTTTGCCAGATGGCCCTGATTTGAATTCGGGCCACCAAACATTCCTGGAGGGTGGAAATGATGTTGTCTTCCAGTGGCTCTTGGCTAATATAAACCCTCATATTCTTACATTTCCTGACTTAAGTAGAAAGCAGTGCTTTCTGGTTTGTGCTAGTTCAAATGTTTCTGTCCAGTTTTGCCTGATGCATTTTGCTTTCTTGTAGACCATTCCCAGAATATGTATAATGTATTGCTTCGAGACATGCTATAACTTATTTGCAGATATAATTCAATTTTGCATAACAAAGTAATTCCCTTGTATTGTAAAAGGTGGCCTTATTTTTCATAATAGCCAGGCCTACCTACAGAACCTGTTTCATCCCGTTACATCGGCCTGTCCCACTCAGTCAGGCAGGGAAAGTATGTTGCAGACCCTCTCAGTTAAAGAACTCTGACTGGTAGGACCTAGGAAGAGAGCCTTCCCTGTTGTTTACACATACACACACACACACACACACACACACACACCAGGAATATTCTCCCCCAGAGGTGAGATAGGCCCCCAATTCTCCTGCTCTTCCCTTTTGCAGCCTCACTTGTGAAGCATGGCTGGCTCAGGAATTCTGGAAGTTGAAGTCTACAAGTCATAAAAAAGCCAAGGTTGCCTACCCCTGGTCTAGTTGATGCCCTGAGAGCCGTTCCTTTACCTTTTAAATTATTTTTTAACCTGGTTTAATTATTCTTGCTCCTTCTAAAAACATTTAAATTTAATTTACATTTTTAATTCTAACATTTTAATTTTTATATACTGTGTTTATATTTTATTATACACCGCCCAGAGTCTCTCTTTGAGGGAGATGAGTGGTTCAGAAATATGGAAAATAAACAACTCATTGTCTTGATATCAGAGATGTTGGGTTGATCAAGAGTTACAGACTCTCAATGGTACTTTAATTCTAGTAGCTTAAGTGAACATAATAACTGTTCAGTTGGGTTGGTCTTTAAGACATCCAGATACAATAAATATGTGTTAATAGGAATATAATGTTTAGCAAAAAAAGGAAAAAGAAATAAAAGGCCCAGAAGTATGAAACATTTAATGATCGGTCCTCTATTTCGACTCTTATAGCTTTGTCTGTTTTTTTTATTACTATTGTTATATAAGAGGAATGCTGCCTGAAAAATGAATGTGAAGCATGTGTTTGACAGAGGGAGATGAAAGATTTCCCTTCTTTTAACAGGAAATTATCTGGGTCATTTATCTGAAATTCAGCTATTTATATTAGTACTGTACTGTTCCAGCTGGAAATGTGTATTAGTTGAATTTTTCATAACCTAAACCAATCAGGCCAATTATATTGCTTTCTCTCAAAAGTCAGATAGTCAGAAATGGCCTTTCTTGGTTTAGTTTCTTTATTATTTGTTATCTTCACTTATTTCTTTTGGAAAAATGCTGATTTTAACAGCGATTTTGCTTCCCCCCCCCATCCCTCACCACCTTTCCCTGGTTTCTGTACTAGCAGTTAAGGGATTGAGACTGTAAAAGCCCAGGAACTGGGCAGATCTGGGCTATGATATTGATTGTGTCATGTTTTAATACTGCCCTGGTTATCAAGAGAACAGAGAAGTGATGTTACAATGACTTGAATTATATTATCAATTCACTCTAGAGGTTACTCATTCATTGAATCTAAAATCAAAGCTGAATATTAATGATTTATCTTACATTTCATATAGCCTGCTAATTTAGTTTTCTGTATGTTTTGTAAAGGTGGAACACTTTCAGGTGAATTTCTGACTGATGAAGAGCTATATATTAGATGGCTTCAAATTGTCACTTTCCTTCCAGTCATGTCTTTTGGGATTCCACCATGGGTCTGTTGTGGTGATTGGGTAGGTAAACTTTTTTTGTTTTCTAATGATACTAAAATTAAAAAAAAACACCTTTTTCCAGGCTGATTGTTTGCTATCTTTCAAGTTCCTCTGAAAAAAAAAATGTCCTTGTCCTTTTTAGTTGTTAAAACTTGAGGTCTAATGCAGATAGATAGCAGCTTGCCATTCATTATTTCAGTAGTGATAAGTGTATCATTGGAAGAACCAAAGAACCAGATTAGGGACAGATCATCATGTAGAAAATCTGTCTATCTGATCCCTAAGTGTTGACAAAAACTTGATGACATGAATCACTCTCCCAAAATTTTTTACAAAATTGTTGAAACTTCCCACTGAACTATCAAGATTTGTCTCTCTCACATACTCTGTTGGCTCTTACTGTTTTTACCTCGCCAATGTATCCTTTGGAAGGATTAATAATCTCTAAGCTTAAGATGGATACAATAGAAATCCCTGAAGACCCTCTCAAACAATCCATTTCATTTTCCTGTTTATTTCTATTTTCTATTTCACAACAATTCATTCTATTCTCTTGTGAGACTGAGTGTTTATGCCTCTACAGCAGGGCTTTTCAACTGGTGGTACGTACCACTTGTGGTACATTAATGAGTGGCAGGTGGTACGCAGCCCTGCCTAGCCAAGTGTAGTCGGGGAGGGAAAGAGCCAGCACAGGCAAGGACTTTCAGTGAGAGAGTCCTCTGGAGCTGCAAAGGCCCCAGGCTCACTTCTGGCTCACCCTCCCCCATGAGAAAGGAAGAGGGCGGTGGAGACAGGAGAGGCTATAAAACAACGGTTCTCAACCTATGGGTAGCAACCCCATTTGGGGTCGATCGACCATTTCACGGGAGTCGCCAAGCAAGGCTGTCCACCATTTTTTCCCCTTTTCCGGCGGGTGCTTTACCTCCCTTGGGCTGGGCCAGCTGGTGGCCCAGCTGGAGGTCGGCCTGCTCTGTCTCTGCCGTTTGCCAGCTACGCCTCGGCCGGCGCAGGGGGCAGCACCACGCATGTGCGGTGCTCCCAGGCAGGGAAAGACCTCGACTTACAACTGGTTGGGTAGTCCTCAACTTACGACCGGTTTAGTCCTCAACTTACGACTGGTTTAGTCCTCGACTTATGACTGATTGGGGGTCGCGGCATTAAAAAGGTTGAGAACCACTGCTATAAAAGGAGGCAGTTTGGGCAGGAGAAGGAGAAAAAAAGCAGCAGCCTTGGGAGGAGGTGGAGTCAGCTGCACAGAGGAGGAGGAGGAGGAGGAGGAGGAATCAAGCAGGCTGAGGAATCAAACAGGCTGGCCATGAGCCGATCTACAACTGCTGTGGCAGCCACCTGTGCTGGCAGCAGCAAACAGGCAAGAAATGTAGCGGGGGAGGGTCACCCTCCAAGAGGAATGAAAAAAGGCAGCAATGGCTGGAGGTGAGGCACAAGGGAGGGAGATGGAGAGTGGAAGGATTGTTATGTGCTTTTGTGACTTTGAAGTTCTGGGATTTGTGCAATGTGGGCTTTGTGTTCTTAAGGAGTGTTTGGCAATTTCTATTTGGCTGATGTCTCGTGTTAGTTTCTATTGCTCTGCTGTTGTTAGCTGTAAGTGTTGCTGCAAGGGATTTTGAAGTATTTTTCTCCTGAATGGATTTTGCCTATAGCATTCCTTTACTTATGAATGGAGCCATTTGGGGAGGTTGCCTTAACCTGCAGCCAGTACTTAGATTTTTTTTCCTTAAGTGCCGGCTGCACTCCTTAACTTTCCTTTCTAGCCAGTAGCTAATTCTTAAAGGGGAATGTGCCTTTTTAAGCTAGTTCACTCAGCAGCTTGTCTTTTCTGTCTCTGGAGGCCTTTCCTTGTTTGATCAATATATGGAAGAGGGAAAATATTGGGGGGGGGTTTCAAATTCTTCCTTCAGAAAGAGATGGGAATGAGAAAAAGGGAGGCAGGGAAGGGAGGGAGGAAAGGAAGTCCCGCCTTAGCACTTGGCCACCAGCAGCTCTGCCATTGACTTTGCTTGTCAAAAGGTTGCAGAAGGGGATCACATGACCCTGGGACACTGTGACCATTATAAATATGAATCAGTTGCCAAGCATCCAAATATAAATCACATGACCCTGGGCATGCTGCAATGGTCATAAGTGTGAAAAATGGTCATAAGTCATTTCAGTGCAATTGCAACTTTGAACAGGTTTTTTTTTTTTTTGGTAATCAAGTTTTTGACACCTTGCTAGGTGGTACTCGAATATTGCCATATCCTAAAAGTAGTACAATTGGTAAAAAGGTTGAAAAGCCCTGCTCTACAGAATGCCTCTTTTTGTCCTCAAATTCTAGTACATGTTCTTGTCATCCTTTCCTTCTTAATATTGCAAACTTTTCCTTTTTTCAATTTATTAACACTCTAATTTATGTTCTTAACTTTCCTCCGTCAATCATAATATTTTACTGTGCTTCCAACCTTTCATTTTAAGCCTCGTGCTTTAGTACTAAATTTAGCTAAAATCTTGTTTGCGATCTCCACAATGCCATTCATAGGCTAGCCAATTCAAACTTGTTCCTCTCCTTCCTTCTATCCTTTGTCCTTTACCTTCTTCCTTTTTTGTCCCTGTACCCATCAACCCTCAGTTCCTTTTGTATTACTTCTTTCCTTCAATTTAGCTATTACCAGCCTTCTCCTCATGCCTTTCCATGTGATTGCCAGCTTTGCAATCCAAATCATTAGCAGTAATTTTGCATAACATTTGGAACTGCCCTCACTTTCCCCTTGTTACCTTGGCCAGGACTCCCTTCAATAGGCCATGGAGAGGCACTAAAAAGGCAGCTAATTGGCACCTTTCCCCATTCCTTGTTCCTTTCTTCTGTGGCTCTTTTCAAGGCAAGGAAAAAACCAGTTGTAAAAGGTCTTAACTGGAGATTGTATCAGAGGAATAGTAATGCAGTTATGGAAAAAGAGGCAGGGCAGTAAGACAGGAGGCCAGCAAGGTGAGAATGTGGAAATCCCTACCCCGCTACTCTACAGGAAATGCTGTAAAGTCCTGAGCCCTGGTGGCGCAGTAGTTAAGTGCAATATTGCACTTAAAATTCTGCCCACAGTCTGGAGTTTGATCCTGATCGGGCTCAAGGTTGACTCAGCCTTCCATCCTTCCAAGTTCAGTAAAACAACAACCCAGATTGTTGGGGACAATATGCAAATAATGCTGACATTGAAAACCACCCAGAGAGTGCTGTAAAACACTATGGGGCAGTATGTCAGTCTAAAATGCTATTGCTATTGTCATCAAATTAGCCCAGATTTCCAGAAGCCTTACAGCATTGCTGTCCTTTCAGAGGTACAATCTCTGCATATGGGCCTCATTCCTCTTAGTCCTTTAATATTTTCTTCTGTCAATTGGCTGTGCCTTGCTACCTCCCACATTTGGAATTCTTCCCCACTGTAGTTATTTCCTATCTTGCTTCTTTTGAAAAACTTCTGAAAGCCTTTCCATTTCTTTTCTTTTCTTTCCCTTCCCTTCCCTTCCCTTCCCTTCCCTCCCCTCCTCTCCTCTCCCCTCCCTCTCCCTCCCCTTCCTTCCTTCCTTCCTTCCTTCCTCCCTTCCTTCCCTTCCTTCCCCTCCCCTCCCCTCCCTCTTTCTCTGTTGGCTTTAATCTCTCTTTAGAACTCTAAGCTTTGAGCAGCTGACTTTAGACAAGTTGCTTTTCTATCCTTTTCCTCTCTTGAAGTGTCTCATTAGATTATAGTCCAGGAGGCATGTGCAATTGCTGCTGCCACTGGTAATGATGATAAAGCCTGACTATGTTCAGTTCAGGGAGGAAATTTCCATCAGTGTCTAATTATGATGAGAAGCTGAATAAACTGATGAAATACCAAGAAGTCCATGTTTTCTGGCAAATTCTGTATCTACTCGGCGAAGCGTTTGCTAATAATGCTTGTTGCATCTACTGCTCCTTATAAAGACATATTTTAAAACAACCTTCTCTTTGTTTTGATTTGTATTTTTTTTTTTTAAAAAAAAAGAAAGCCGTTGTTCTTCCTTTCTTTCAGGTGTTGAACCTCACCAGGTACTATATTCAGAGACACCAGAACTTTGTGGTTCCACTCATTGAGAAATACAGCAAGGAATGGCTATTGAGGGGGGATCCAATTTTTCGGCCCACCTGGTGGCTCAGCCCCACTGAGCCAGCTGCCTTTACCATTGATGACCAGTTTCTCATAGGCGAGGAGGTAAGACATGGATTCTTTTCTAGGATATTTTAGATCAGCTCCTAAGGGCCGACTGACACCATTTTACATGTGTATTAGAATACCTGAAAATGTCAGCTCCCTAAAGGCTTCTGGAAATCTCTCTCCAGTTAAGAAAAAAACCAACACCTGAGAGCATCACAGTATCACGTCTGAAAATATTTTAAAAGAATATTATATAGCACATCAGCAAAAGGTATATATTAAGACTGACACTGTCAGAACATAATCTACTCTTTCCCAACATGATGGTCACTTCCATCAGAATTCCCAGCTAGTGCTGATGACAACCATCACATACAGCAACAGTGACACATTGGAAAAACACTCAGCTGAAGAAAAAAAATTGAAGACTTCTGCAATGATAGTTCTCTTTCATCAACCTTTGGGAATTAATCTACTAGAACGTCAATCAGTCAATGGAAGTCAACCAGTGTGCATTACATGCTTGGGGCTATTTGTTAAAGAAGGGAGAGAGAAAGGGATTATTTCTTTAAAGGCCTGCTGAAAAGCTGCCACAATCAGTAGCGGGCCCTGCTTGAACAGTGGGCATAGAATACTGTGTTTGCTTCATTTTAAAACAGATTAATAGAAAAGGAAGGCTGGGAGAGAAAGTAAATAAGAGGGAGAAGAATAGGTTTGTTGTGCTTTTAAGCAATGTAACTTAAGAAAGACATGATAGAGATTTAGAATTTTTTTATTATTTTTTTTATAAATATTTTTATTGAGTTTTATAAAGGTAATAAGGGGATAGGATCAAAAAGGGTAAGACAATGGGAAACATACAAAAAGGTTAGATCAGTATTTTTTTTATTATATATATATATTGGATTTTTTTATTATATATATATTGGATTTTTTTTAATGTAATTTTTGTCTTAGGTTTATTTAAGTTTAAATGCTTTGCATTTTTACTTCTTGTTAACCCTGTATTCAGCTCTGGGAAGAGGGGGGGAGGGTTTTTGGGAGGGTTGGGAGGGAGTGGGAGAGGGATATTATTGTAAAATTGTAAAACTTTTAATTAAAAAAAAAAGGTTAGATCAGGGAAAAGGGATAACACAAAAGTGGGATTAATTCCACAAAATAATATCGCTTCAGCAAGTCTACCAGTCCAGGTTTACCTATTAAATCTTAATAATTACTCTATTATTAAAAAACATTCCATATAATCACGTAAATAACAAATTAGTCAATAAATCTCATTCATTTCACTACTTAATAATGCTTAATATTAATTAATTATAATCACTTTAAAATAATATACTACATATTAGTTATAGTTTACCATATTATTTAAGATCACAAATATACAAAGAGGAAGAAGAAGAAGAAATAAGAACAAGTTCATACAAATAATCATAGAATATAAATACAAATTATCAATTATCTGTTTAAATTTCATAATCTTTTCTCACTCTAGTGTGTTTCTAATCAATAATAAAATTTTCCTGAGCCACTCAGGTAGAGGTAAGAGCTCCCCTGGATCCCCATAATTTCGGGGATCAGAGGGTAGAGCTCCCTTGGAGCCTGAGCCAACTCCGCACTCCAGGATGTCTTTGTCCCAAAGTTCTGGGATGAAGCAAGGCGCCGCTCTCACATCTGCTTTTTTGGGAGGCTTGTGAGTATTTAAATGCAGACGGAGCAGACCAGGAGAAAGTGGATTTAAGATTGATTGTGACTTTAACTCCTGCAAGCATCTTCCCCCCCCCTTTTTTTGTTTACTTTCCCTTTTGAAGAAAATGAAAGTGAAAGGCAAAATGGCGACTGTCTTTCTTGTTTGACTTTGCAACAAAGTTAAAAGTTCATGTTTTAAATATAGAGGCAAGAATTTTGTTCCTCTTTCTTTTTTTTTCCTTCTTTCTTTCTTTTTATTATTATTTAAAGAACTGTGATATTATAGAGGCAAGAATTTTGCTCCTTTGAACTTAACAGAATGGCTTCAAAACGTTTGGTCTCTGTCCCTAAAGCTTCCATCTCCTCCCCAATGACTCAGCCTGCTTCTCAGTCTAAACCAAAATCACCCCCACCCTCTCCTCCTCCTGCAATCTCTCTCAAAGACTTACAAGAGGCTTTAAAAATGACTGCTTTGGATATTAAAGAGGAGGTAAAAGATCTTATAATTGCAGAGAGGGTTATTACAGAAGAATTATTGGAGAAAAAGAACAAGCAAGTCAGAGAAGACATACTATTTGCGTTTTCTGGTCTTGCCCTGCATATTGAAAGGATTGATGATAAAATGGAAGAGATTACTGAAAATGCAGCAAAACTGGAATTTAGAATGGAGGAAGTGAAGAATAAGATAGAAGTTACACAGGATGAACAAATTATTTCACAATACAGAGAAATGGAGTTCGCATTGCGTATCCGAGGATTGAAAGAAAATTCCCAGGAAGATTTGAAGATGCTTATTGTTAGAGATATTGCTTTTAATCTTGGATGGAGACCAGAAGTAGTTGGGAATGAGATAGAAAAAATCTTCAGAGTCAACTCACGGGTTGCCAAACAGAGAAATTTACCAAGAGATGTGGTTATTTACTTTTCCAGAAGATCTATTCGTAATGAAATTATACAGGCTTTTTATAAAAAGAGGTTTCAAATTGCAGCTCAAGATGTGATAATTTTAAAAGAAATACCTCCAAAAATTTTAAGAGGTAGAAAAGATTTTACTTTTCTGTCTGATGAGTTAAAACGTCGTCAAATCCAGTTCAGATGGGAGATTCCAAGAAGAATAGTAGTGAATTATGATGGAATACGTTACAGATTAACTACAGTTTTAAAGGCAAGAGATTTCTATCACTCTATTCTAAAGGCAAGACCATCTTCACCTCCACAAACAAGGATAATTGAAGAGCCCATTATGGCAGGAGCTTCCTCATTGATGGTCATGGAACAAGCGGTGTTGCCTATACAGAATCTTGAGATAAAAGATCAAAGGATGACACGAGCTGCCCATAAACGCAAAGAAAAAGAGCAGCAGCAGAAGAGTGGCGATAAAGTAGAAGGAATGGTTACTACAGAGCCTGTGGGAGGGGCAAGACCTAAAAGATCTTCGACAGTTGATCTTCAGGCTATGTGTCAAAGGCTTCAGGTGGCTAAGTTCCTGACCTGGAATGTTAATGGCTTAAACTCACCTCAGAAACAGAGAAAGGTCTTCTACTATTTGAAACAACATAATAATGACTTGATATGTTTGCAAGAGACTCATATAACTTCAAAAGACTCAAAATATCTGATAAATTCTCATTTGGGATCAAATTTAATAGCTCCAGCTCCAGGGAAAAAATGGGGTGTTATAATTTATGTGAAGAAAAATTTATCGGCTAAATTAATTGAGGTTGATCTTGAAGGAAGATATGTCTTTGTGGAACTATTGTTACAAGGCAAGAAAGTTCTTATTGTTGGATTATATGCCCCTAATCAACAACAGAAGCAATTTTATAAGCTTTTGCATGGGAAGATATCCCAGTTGGATTATAAATCTGTAATTTTGATGGGTAACTGGAATGGAGTTTTGGATATAACTATAGATAAAAAGAGCTCTTCAAAAAATTTCATTCAAACTAAATTACCCAAAACTTTTTTTGATTTGAAAGAAGAGTTGGAACTTATTGATATTTGGTGAGAAAGGAACACAAGTGATAGAGATTTTACCTTCTATTCGGATAGACACCAGTCATTTTCAAGGATTGACTTCTTTTTGATTACTAGTGATTTTCTTTCTAGGGTGAGAAAGGTAAAAATCTTTCCCAGGACCCTTTCAGACCATAGTCCTGTGTGGATGGAGCTATACTTGGAAGATGGGAACAGAAGGGCTTGGAGACTGAATGAGAATTTGTTTACCCGGGGAGAGTTTGTACAAAAATGTAAAGAGTATTTAAAGGAGTTTTTTGCTTTAAATATGAATAAGGGTACATCGATGCCCATGGTCTGGGACGTCAGTAAGGCGTATATGAGGGGAATTTTAATTCATTTAAATAAAGTTTCTAGGGATAAAAGGATACAAAGACATAGAGAAATAGAAGATGAGATTAAAATAAAAGAAGAAGCGCTTGCTCTTAACCCAACTGATAATAACTTAAAGGTTTCTATAAAGATGCTTAGGAAACAATTTAATATGTTGATGGCAGATCAGGTGCTACCAATTTGCATTATATGAGACATAATACTTTTTGTAATGCGAATAAGCCTGGGAGGTGGTTGGCTTATCAGTTACGAAAGAAACAGAAGGCTAGGATTATAGAGAAAGTAAAATATAAAGGTACTGAGGTTTTTCAGCAAAATTTGATTAAAAAGAGTTTTTTAGATTTTTACACAAAACTATACTCAAGTGATAATATAAAGGGAATGGATATAGATAAATATTTACAATCAGTACATTTTCCTAAACTTTCTGAGGAACAGCAAAATGTGATGAATTGTTTAATTACTGTGGAGGAAATTGGCTTAGCTATCAAGCAGTTAAAGGTGGGAAAGTCTCCAGGAACAGATGGATTGATGTCGACGTATTATAAAAATTTATATGAAGAAATGTTGGAGCCATTAAAGGAGCTTTTTAATAGTATCTTGCTGGGAGCACAAGTTCCTCCTTCTTGGAAAAGAGGGTTTATATCATTGATTCCGAAGGAGGATCAAGATCTTAGAGAGCCTAAGAATTATAGGCCGATATCATTATTAAATGTAGATTACAAGATTTTTACAAAAATTTTGGCAAATAGATTAATGCAGGTTATGAAGGATTTGATTCACAGTGATCAATCAGGATTCATAACAGGGCGATACATGAAATATAATGTTAGACAAATTATTAACTTAATTGAGTATTTGGATAAGAACAACCAGATTCCTGTGGCTTTTATATTTTTGGATGCTGAAAAAGCCTTTGATCAATTAGATTGGCAATTCTTATTCTCAGTGGTAGAGAAAATGAATTTTGGGGATAATTTTTTACATGCACTTAAAGCTATATATCAGCAACAATCTGC